CTCAAGACACCTTTGCAAGGTAAGGTAATGCCACAGACTCAGATTCACAGATGGGAAGCTAGAGCCAGAAAGGTTACCTAAGAATCATCCAGCATATACAGAGAGGTCCTGACCCTCATCACCCCTTTGGTTTGGGTTTCTTTCCATCTATAGTGGGGTGTGGGGAGAGGAAAGGTGCATGCCTGAGTTTTGCTCCAACATGGAGTTAGATTCAGGGGGAGGGAAGCAGCTGGACCTTGAAGCTAGGAGCCAATTTTACATCTTGTAATTCTGTGTGGTCAGAGAGACCAACAGCTCTATTCAGATGTCTTCTTAGGGGGCCTATCTTGGAGTTAAGTTCTTCTGATGGCTCTGGAAACAAGAAGGTGGTGAGGAACTCAAACCATCAATTCTCTATGGAATGTCAAGAAGAAGTATGCATGGCACCTATGCTGAGTGATCCGAATACCTCTAGACACTGAGAAGCAGGAAGGGCTGTACTCAGAAGCCTAACACAAATGCCATACTCGTCTTTATTCATTGACTCATAGAGGGAGCCAGGTTCTAGCATCCTTGAATTCCCAAATGATCAGAAGTGATCATCTTCAACTTTGACAACAGACAGTGTGTTTTAGGTCCACCTTTGTTACTATATTACTTTGTTACTACTATCTCTAATTGGCTTGCCTAAGGATATACTGTGCTAGAGTAGGGAAATAAACTTCTGTCTCTTGAGTCTTTCAGCACAAAAAGAGTTTTCTTCTCTTAATCTAAGCTGTCTCTGCTCTCAGTCTTATTGCCATGGAAATAGTCTCCATAGCTGGTATTAGAGTTGCCTTGTTGACATCATTAGTAAAGCATATAATAGATAGTTAAACTGCTCTGATATTTATCTTTAGGTCAACAGCTATTGAGACTCCAGAGGCAAATTAGAAAAAAGCATAGTCTCTTTATTAGTAGAACTTAATTTAACTGTATTTAAACTTCATTAAGGAGTAAAAAAAATGACCTTTCTTAATGCACTCTTTCTTTATAAAGTATGAAATAAGGATATTAGATTAGTTTGATCCTGGTTCTTATTATGCACACACAGTAGATGAGAATGCAAAAATTCCCTCATTCAGTTAGGTACTCTTGGATGTCAAATCAAAGACCAGGTGCTCCACAAGCCCATTTCCTTTCTTCAGTGTTTTATGTTTCCTAGCCCTGTAATTCCCCCCAGGAAACCAGAAGAATTCTTAATTTCTTACCCCCCATCCCTCCAGCCCCCCACCCCCATTAAAGTAACAGCTCTGGTCGTTTAAACAATCAAGCACGTGTTCTTACACTGTCTGCACCTCATGCTATCCATAAATGGTGATGTGGTAAGAAAAACCATGGAGGAAAGGAAAGGAAATGACATTAACCTTTTCCATCTGATAAATAAGGGCTCTATTCAGCTGCAATAATCCACATCCTTCCCTAGAGATCCAGTTAATGTAATACCTAAGGGCTCAGTTCATTTAAAATTATTTCCACACTGGCCAGCTGATTTCTTGGTGAATTATTCAGTCCCCAGATTGAAATATTCTCCCTGTGCAATAGCACATGTAAAAGGGCTAGAGTCCTTCTGTAGCTCCCAGTAGTCTGAATGTCTTCTCAGACATGCCAGGGGGTCAGTGACATCCACATGACTTATTTGTGTCCTCTAAATTAACAGGAACTTTTGTGCTGATTTTCATGGGACCACCAGTCTGTAAGCACTGAAGATAGCATACCTTGTCCCATTTGCTACTCCTCTCAGGAGGGAGCTTCTCACCTCCCTATCAGACTTTAAGCACCTGCAATTTACAGGTAGTAAAGTATGAACTTTGAATGGGTGGAAATCTAGAGCATCAGATTCAGCCAGTTCAAAAAAGTCAGCCTGGATTGTGCGTGTTGTTGCTGGGGTTTAAGGTAATGGATGTGGATCAATGACCACTGCAAGGTTGCTTGAGTGATCCATACTCCCAAAGGCTAAAAATTAGGAAATTAGTGTGGGTTTGTTTTTTTTTCTCCTTCCCCCTTTGCAATAAAGAGATGACTCCAGTGTGATTGGTATCTGCCCAGCTATACCTGCCCAAGAAACTTGCACAGACAAAGGGCTGTTTGTAGCAGTGAGGCAGATGTTTTCAGAGCAGGGCATAGAGAATCCAATTACAAATCAATGGGAAATACTAGCCTGACATCAGTAGCAGTATGTGAAAATCCCAGATTTATATTAGTTGTATTGATCCATTGTCGATTGAAAGCCATGGGAATCTTGTCATTGGCATCAAGATATTTGGGATTAAGTTCCTACATTATGAGACGTGTTCCTTCCTCTCTCTCTTTTTTTTTTTTTTTTTTTTTTTTTTTTTTTTTAAAGGGAGTGTAACTAATTGAGTATAATAAACCAAAGTTGTATGCAATTTTGCAACTTTTCTGATGCTGTAATAAGCTGTGCTCTGAGGGTTCATTATTGGACTGTCTTGAAACTTGCTAGTTAAACAGGAAAAACAAGAAATCTGACCTCACTATAGTACTTAATTGAAGTGCATTTATTGACTGATTTTAAGCTCTTATAGCAACTCTATTTGCTAAGAACTACGGGCCAGCCCTTGGCTTGTACGGACCCTTAGCTCCTGGGGTGGACACAGTCTAACCACACAAATACATGTCATACTCCAGGCTTGCATCACAGGGTTGGGCGGGGACTGCGCACAACGCTCGAGTTGGAGACGCACATTCTCCCTTGTTGCAATGCTGCTCAGCTTCCCTCCCCTCCAGCAGCCCACAGGCCGGCCAGCCCGCGTCCAGTCAATATGCCAGAGGTAAAGCAGAAGCGTTGTACTGGGCATATTTTAGTTCCTGGCTCTCTGGTGTTGGGCAGGTAATGGGTCAGCTGAAAGAATAAACCCCTGTGGATCTACCCTGCCTCCTTAAGGATTCTGCAAGCTGCAAACCTTTAGAAGGATCTGGATCTCCAGCCTCATAATGCTGAGGCTGGAGGACTGAGAAGACTGTTACATATCAGTGCCAAAGCAAGCTACAGCTGGATCTCTCTGCTAGTAAATCCACCTTTGATACTATAATGCTGAGACTGGCATGCACTTAATGTTAATACACTCTTATCCCCATCCCATCTGTATTAGAAATTAAGGAAGAAACATGAAGACTATTACCATGCTGTAACCTTAAGAACAGTTTCTCACTTCATAGAGGCACTCAGCAGGCACTGGTGCATTCAGCCATGATTCATTATCACTGAACTTTGGTGCTGGCCTTGGCCAGTTTTGTCTGGATTCAGTTAACTTGTTTCACTGGCAGGAAAGATTTCTGTGTATTTGTATTATCTCTCTGGAAATCTTAAGTAGGGAGCTGAACACGATTGAGAACAGTTGCCTGATAGAAGAGACAGAAAGAAAATGCATTCTGCAGGAGACTAAGGAGGAATGGAAGTTGGTCTGGGAATAGATGGATGTGGCCCTCCCCTGGTATAACAGAAAAAGCTGAGCTAGCACTGGACATTATCATACATGATGTCACACTGACTTTGTGTGATCCCCATTGAATTCACCTGTAATCTAGTGCACCATAATGTTAAATTAAACTGGCTATTTTTTTCCCAAAGTTTTGGAACACTATGGCTTTGCGGAGCTGTTGCTTATCAGCATACTGAATACTGTAATGCCAGCCATAATGACACAGGTAAATGAAGTCTCTGAAACTTCATTGTTATAAACCTGCTGCAAAACTGACCCAGAGGAGATATGGATTCTATTCAAGGAGTCTGCAATGCAAATTTATGCAGATGACTGTCATTAGTTTACTGTATGTTTGCTTGAAACAGCTGGGTAAGGAAGAGACAGTTACTCTGCAGAGGACAGGCCACAGAAATTGCATATTTGAGCCCAAACTGCCATCTTAGGAAAAGTGTTAGAGCATAAGAGACTTGCCTCTCAATTCTTTTGATAGATTCCAGGAAAGTGGGAGTGTAGCAGCTATTTCATCATCAGCCACCAGCCTCTTGGCTCCTCTTTCTTGGCATTTATTAACAGTTATTTCTGCCCACAAGTCCTCAGAAGCAAAGCTCTGTGGCCAGGCTGGCACAGGTGGCAGCAAAGCATGGAAGTAGGAGCAGGCAGAATTCGTTTGACACAGCCCTAATCTGAAGACCCTATTGATATGCTCAGCATAAGATCACTGTCTGCACCTTGTGTGTAACAATCTCTAATGGGCTGAGGTAAAAACTGCAGCAGCAGGTGTTTCCAGGCAAGTATTTTGTCTAGGTAAGCCAGAACACCTGGGAAGGCCTGTGGAAGCACACAACTGATTGCAATGCTCTGCACTACATAAGCCTCTTTTTACACTGACCTCATTTTTGTGGCTAGTGTGGCCTGCTAAAGAGCTCTTGGGGATTACTATCACATTTCAGTGACAGTGACAGGAGGTGAGCTGTTCTCTATGCAACTAAGGCAGAGGATGGAGTAGAACAGGAGTTTAAAATAACCTGCTTTCTGCTGCTAAGTGCAGGCAGGTTAGCAGCAGCAGAGGGTTCTGGGGTAAAAATTAAGACTTCAGACATCTACTGGTGACTTGTATTATACATAGTGGTGGTAGGATGCAAGGATAAAATCCAAGGCCCAAAGATATTTGTTCTGCATGCAAAGAGCCGTTTGCACTTTTACAAAAATCCTCTTGTCAAGGCTGCCTTAAAGGGGCTAGAATTATCTGTTGGATCAGTTATCAGAGAAATGGGAAAGGTTTAGGGTCAGATTAGTTCCTGGTGTAAATCCTCTGGTTGCTTTATACTTATTGCAAAGTAGACCTTGAGCTTTATTGAGAGAAAAATATCAGAAAACTGCTGGGCTCCCAAATGTAGCATATTTCTCATCAGTTCTAATGTGCTGAAAGGATGGGATTTTCTGTGAACTTTTCCCAAACAGTCTTGCATTTTTTTTCTCTCTTTGAGAGGGGGAGGAGTTGTGCCTAAAAAAACAAACCCAACCTGTCGTTCTCAGCTCTGCCAACCTGTCAGTCCAGCCATGCAAGAGAGAGGGAGAGAGACAGAGAAAAAGAAAAGAGGGAGTGAAGCAGAGATTCTTTCAGATCTCAGCAGACGTTAAGGTAAAGCCCATTTCTCATTTCCTTAATTATGCTTGTCTCTGTGTGTGTACATGTAAACAGAAATTCTGTTACCTTAGAGAGTTTTAAACTAACTAAACAACCTGTATGGGAATAAACTGTTTATCTTGTTCAACTGGAAGTGTGTTTTGCATGTAACCTGGCAGCTTGTCAGTTGTTGTTTGGAAACACAGTTTCTCTCTCTGAAATTCAGAAGGAGAGTTTGTGTTCATCTGAATATTAAAAAGAGGCAGAGCTTTAGTGCTTGTATGAATACATGTTTGGGAAGGATATTAAGCTGTGTAATTTCGGGTCTGAAGCCAGCCTCTAATTACTGAAGATCAGTATAAGAACTTGTTAGAGGAGGGAAATTCTTCCAAAGCTGCCTGTTGCAGGGCTCTTACACCTTCTCCTGGAGCATTTGGTATTAGCCACTGGTGGAGACAGGATACGAGACTAGACAGACTGTGGGTCTGATCCAGTTTGGCACTTCCTACATTCCTCCATTCCTGCCTGTCCATTTCTGGTGGGGTTTATCCAACTTGTCATTACCACAGGAGGAACAAAGCTAAGGTGCAGCAAAACTGCCCGCATGAATTTTTGCGTTAGGAGGGCAGAGCAGCAGAGGCACTTTTAGCTCATACCAAAGGAAATTGAAGGTTACAGACTGTGAGAAATGTTGGCTGAAATGAGTGTGAGTCAGAGGAATCACTCTGCCCCAGAGCTTGCCGTATGAGTCTGGTCTGGACAACCAGTTTGTTGGAATGATTGTAGTAGAGGGGGCCTAGTAGTGAAGGCCTGAAATAGAAGAATGGACAGAATTTTGTTAGATCTGAGTGTCTGTGTGTGAGGACCTGTGTGAATGTGTACTTGTGCACAGATGTGTAAGTGTAAGGAGTCTGCTGAAAGATTCTGGCCCCTAGTAGGCCATGAAAATCTGCAAACAAAAGTAAAAAAGGCATAATTATGTTCATCCACCTTAAACGTACCCCTATTTCTGTATTTTTAAATCCTGCACCAACTTTTTAAACTGTACTGAAAACTCTGTAATATTTTTCTAAGTAAATTGAGGCTCTGGGAAAGTCATATAGAGTGCAAACTGGTGGACAGGTTTTCCTTTCCTTGCTGTATATTTAGGGTTTTTGCTCCTACTGCTAAGGTGTTACCTGCTGAAGATGACCTCTTTAGTAATACTAACCCAGCAGAACACAATGAAGGATGGCAGAGAAAGACAATGCAATCGTCATGTTGCTTGCTGCATGGGTTGCAATGCCCTTGCCAGGGGTTTGGTTATGTAATACTGGCTTCTGCATCTTCCTTCTTAAACTTCCTCAAATACTTGCACCTGTGCTGCAGTTTAGGATTGAAGTTCTCCTCCCATAGCTGTGAGCCTTGGAAGAAGACAGAAGTGATCCAGATTAGAGAGGGGTGGTCTGTCCATGTGACTGTTCTTATAAAAAAGTTTGCTATGTCCTTGCATTACATCACCTTCCTTTCTTCTGGGTAGTGTGGTCTCCTGGGAACCTTGATCTGGTGTTTCTTATTACTCCTGACTCATTCCCCTTGGGGATGGTGATACGGAGTGAGACTGTAAGCTTTTAATACACAAAAGAAATTCTTTTATAGATAGTGGGTTTTTTTAGCATTATTATAAGCTTTCCTGCCAGAGCTTTTTCAAGTGATGGTAGGAGATGGAGAAGAGGCAGTAAATGCTTCAGTTTTGGTGGGGAGAAACATTCCTACTGCTAGTTACAGTAATAGAAATTAGTCACTGAGAGAAGGAAAAGGGGAAAATTCTTTAGCTTTCATAATCTGCAAAGACTTCACTAACTCACAGCACTTTTGCATCTTCTCTTCTCTTCTCTTCTCTTCTCTTCTCTTCTCTTCTCTTCTCTTCTCTTCTCTTCTCTTCTCTTCTCTTCTCTTCTCTTCTCTTCTCTTCTCTTCTCTTCTCTTCTCTTCTCTTCTCTTCTCTTCTCGCAATGCAAAGAAGGTTTGGGGTATCTACATGAAACGTTCTACAATGCTGTTGGACATTTTTGAAATGGAGACAAACATTCTGATGCACTTGTTTCATTACTGCTTTTGAAAGGGTGTAAATGTACTGATGTAACGCAACTGGTGCTAATAAATCAGCCAAGCTCCCTATAGGTCAGACAATTGATCTATGTAATGTCAAATGCAAGATTATAGTACAAGTTGATAAATAGTTTAGCACTGTTTAGCAAATGTCAGTTGATCAATCAGAGTTAACCAGCTGCAAACTTGCTAAATACAAGCAATGTCCAGGCAATCCATATTTTAGATGGGCTTCATTAGTGTAGCTGTAACAACTCAGCACTGCAACAGAAGGGAAGAAATGTCAGAAATACAAGTCGAGTTCTTGCCAAGATTTTTCTATCTGTCATTCTGGAGGCAGAAAGAGCAGGGACTAATGTATCAGTCATTTGTTCAGGAAGCTGTTTCTAAAGTAATAAACTTTTGCAAAGGAAGTGTTACCAGACAGAAAGGTTGCAATCTGAGAAACCTGTCTACTAGGAGAGATTCTGAATAGTTCTTGGAAAGATCAGTTGGAAAACGTTTCACACTGAGAAAGTTTCTTCTTTTCAACAGAACTCTGCTAATTCACCTTGTTCAGTATTCTCCGATGTAAGAAGCTCTAGATTGGCTGATGCCTTCCCCTTCTTTCTTTTATTACTTACCTTTCTTGCACCATAGTCTCACTATGAGCTTTCGGTGACAATGTTTAGTAACAGAACATCCATTTCAAATAACCTATTGTGCAACTAAAATGTCGTATGATAAATACAAACAAGCCAAACAAACAAAACCAACCTCAGATTTCTTTTCTGTTTGATTTTTAAATTGGGATAAGAGCTTGAATTGATTCTTTATCTTTTCATCTTATATTGTAAAAGCAGACTAGTTGTCCATCCTGACTGGCAGGAAGCAGTGCTGTAACCCAAGAAGCCATTGTGCTGCTTTTCACAAGGAACTGTTAAATTTTTGTAGTTTGCAGTCACGATAGTAGCACTGGTTCCTCTTTTTAAAGCGGTTAAAATTGTGTTTTGAGAGTGCAGACAGGGGAGAATATGCTTCAGCTACTCAAATGTTATTTGTGGTGACATGCTGGATTGAAGAATTGGAAGAGTGGAGAGTGTTTCAGCCCTTAATTTCCTGTGGAAAGATTCAGCTGAGGAAGCATTGAATTTTTGGGTTCTCTTTGCTGTCAGCATGGTAAAGGAGAGTGGGTCAATACTAGCCAGAGAAGGTCAAGGAACTGACATTTGATAAAAATCAACAATCTGGGAAACAAACTGAATAGAGGCAATTTCAGTGAACAACCATTTTTCAGACAAATTTTCCTGTACCCCAAAGGAAAATCAAGACAGGAATTCACTAGACAATGTGAAATGAAGACTTATCTGGATAAGAGGGAAATTAGCTGGAATTTTATCAAGTATAAGAACTAAAGGCATCTCCATTCCTGACGAAACTTTGAACACAAAAGATCCCCGGTTCTTTTTAATTTTTTTTCTCTCAAACTGTTTTCAGATTGGCACCTAATTCTGTGTACATCAACGTCGGGGCATTGATCCTGTGTTGCGGTACCAGCATCACCTCGTTGTTTCTTTGCAAGCCTGTGTCCTGCCAGTGATCAGACCTGAGCTAACTTTGCCGACCTGATTTCTGACATGGCCAGCTGGCCCATTTTGCTGTCCAAGAAATGCTGATTCTTAGCAGCTATGGGAGAACATGCACAATTTCTAACTGGCATTCTCCCACTCAAAGATAGCTCAAATTAAGACAAATCTGAACAACTGTGATGATATTAACTTAATACATATTAAAAGTAGATGCCATAAAACACAGCTTACTTTCCACCAGAAATCTCAATGGGAAAATTCAAATATTTCTATTTCCACTCACAAGCTTTAACCAGCTGTTTGACTACTAATGAAAATCCTGTTAGTTTTCCACAACTGAGTGAGAACTCTTTCCAGGAGTGGCCTGTGGTGAGATTTCTAGTGCACTCTTGCTTTGGATAGACTAAGAATATTATTTTTTTTCATGGTATTTTGTCACCATAGCTAGCTATTCCCCAAAGAAATGAAGCACTTGGTGCCTCGTGCAAAAAAAACAAGTAACCCTCAAACAACTTCTGTAAGTTTCTGTTATTCAGGTCTCAGAAAGATTTGATTTAGACTTTTTCAATGGGAATAAGTAATTAGTGCTTTGCTTTATCTACACAAGTCTGTTCAAATCAAGTTAAATGATTGGTGCGACAGAGGTTTGGATTGAGGTGCAGTTTCCCTGGTAACAATCGAGAGTGAAATCAGAACCTTTTGAACAGCCAGTGGAATGTAGTTCTACTTGGATGACAATAGGTCAAAGCATTTTAATGGGTAAAAATGTAATCCAGTACAATAGGATTTATTGCCACTATGTCATCAGATTGACACTATTCCTGCAAATTCTTTAGCTTGTGACAGACTTCAACTGAAATCTGTTTAGTGGAAAAACTTGTAAAATGCCATTAATCATTTTGTTTTCCAAATCAACCAAAGAGTCTATGTGTCTCAGGGGGTTAGAAAGAATATCTTCCAAGTGAGTGAAATTCAACCTCCCTGCACAAAGCCCTAATGAATGGCTGTTCTGGACACAATAAATGGTTCTAAGAACTAAAGGCTCATTTCTGCAGGGTGCTGAGTACTCTGGTCCAAGTCTATTGAAGAACTTCTGTGCTTGCTTAAATTTACACTAACAAAATAGTTTCCAGTGATTTCTAGGGTGGTTATTCATTGCTCTTAAACCTGATTGTATTTGCTGACAGACAAGACCTTGCAGGATTAAGTCCTAAACCAACACTGGAAGAAAAGATTCCCTGTTCAGTATGGCAAGGGCATGGGGCAATATTTCATCCCTTCTGCTGACATTTTTCCAACTTCTGCAATAACAATCCTTTTATTCTGAAAGATCCCAGAGTGCTGTCTAAACTAAGA